TTTGTCATGGTTCCCAGACTTGGACAAGCTGATCTGGTTAATGACAATTCTTCTCGATGGAACTATTATTCATTTTGAGCTCATTTGCATCTTCAGAAAGTAGATGGTGCATAAGAAGAAGGAATGTGTTTTGCCCTGACCAGGTGACTCAGGTGGTTGGAGCATCCTCCCATACACCAAAAGGTTTCGGGTTCAATTCCTGGTTAGGGCACATACCCAGGTTGCAGGTTCCATCCTAAGTTGGAGTGTGTACTGGAGGCAACCGATCAATGTTTCTCTCTCTCTCTCATTGATGTTTTGTTTATCTCTCTCTCTATCAATTAAAAAACAACAACATATCCTCAGGTGAGATAGAGGGGGAAAAAAACAATGGGTGTTTTTTTGACAGAAAATTATTCACTCAAAAAATTTTAAAATCAAAAGATGCAAATAGAAATTAATACTTTTTTGAGGCAGTCAGGTTATGAAGATATGATTTACATACAGTAAAAAATTAAGGTTTATTCTCTTAGCAAATTTCAAGTATGCAATACAGTATTGTTAATCATAGTCACCATGCTGTACACTGAGTCTCCAAAACTTATTCATCCTTCATATCTGAAACCCTTTGATCAATATTTCCTCATTCCCCTCCCCTGCTCCTGGCAACCACTGTTCTCTCTGCTTTTAAAAGTTCGACGTTTCTTAGGTTCCACATATAAGTGACATCATGCAGTATTTGTCTTTCTGTGTCTGGCTTATTTCATTTAGCATAATGTCCTCCCATGTTGCTGCAAATGGTAGAATATTTTTTTTGCAGCATTATTCACAATAGCTAAGATCTAGGAGCAACCTAAGTATCTGCTGACAAATGAATGACAACGGTGTGAGGCTATATATATATAAACACACAATGGAATAGTATTCAGCCTTAAAAAGGAAAGAACTCTTGCCCTAGCCAGTTTTGCTCAGTGGATAGAGCATCGGCCTGGAGACTGAAGGATCCCAGGTTTGATTCTGGTCAAGGGTACGTACCTTAGTTGCAGGCTCCTCCCTGGTCAGGGCTCATGCAGGAGGCAACCAATGTGTTTCTCTCACATTGATATTTCTCTCTGTCTTTCCTGCTCTCTTCCATTCTCTCTAAATCAATGGAAAAATATCCTCGGGTGAGGATTAAAAAGAAAAAAAGGAAGGAATTCTTTTTTATTTGAGTAGCAGTGTTTTGATCCAACCCTCATCAATCAACCCATGTGAAACTGGCTATGTTGCTTAGCTGCTGTAACCCTCAGTTCTTCATCTCTACAAGGTTTTGTGAGGATGAAAAGAACAATGTATCAGAAAGAGCTCTGGAATCATAAAGCAATGAAACATTAGGTATTAATAAGAACACAGACATGACTACTGAGATTAAACAGGCAACCTTATCAAGCTCAGGTGTTCTTAAAACCTCACAGCATGGGCTGAGTGATTCTTAAATGTTAGAACTAAAAGAAACTCCATGACCTTCCACCAAGTCCTAGCTGTTAATGATAGGAACGGAGCCCCTGAAAGGCCAAGGCCACACAAAGTTACTAGTTGCACAGCCAGCTCGAGAATTCAGAACTGCTGACCCTGTGCCCAGTGTGCTCATTAGCCTACACAACCTCCTTCTAACGGCTGGTTTGAACAGTGATCAGACACAACCAAACTTTAGGACAGTCCCCACCATAATGGAATAATCAGACAGCTCAAAGTAGCCCTCAAACACTCCCCATCACATGTCCATCTTACTTTCCTTACTCCCACCTTCATGCATTGTGTGTGTGTGTGTGTGTGTGTGTGTGTGTGTGTGTGTGTGTGTGTGTGTGTGTGTCTGCCCCACTGAAAGCTAAATCTGCCAGGGTATGGGCCTCTATTAGCCATATTACCACATAGTGCCTGGCACATAGAAGTCCTTAATAAATGATTACCGAATGATGGTTAGGAAAATGGGCTTTAGTCAAATGATTTATGCTTACAACAGGTTTGACTTAATGACAGGTATCTTCTTTGACAAATTTTTAAGCCATTTGTTTGGGTGACGTGGAGGTTTCATGAGCCAAATCGGAGGGCAAGAATGGCTCAGGCACCCAGACAAGAGGGGCCTGAATCCCATTCCCATGCCGTAATCGCCTGGTCCTGCTCCGTCTTGCTCCTCTAAGGCACCCGTTGTCTAAACAGTACCAAGTGTTAACTTGCTAAATCAGTTACACCCAAAGGGTTGAGATTATTTAACAATGCACTAAGATGAGGTCATATCAAGAATTCTGAGGAGAGGCAGAGTTTTCAAAGAGTCCAGTTCCATGCCAAGGAGCTATTGTTCATGAAATGATTTTTGGAAAATGAAGGATTAACTCAGTAACTCATCTCTTTCATGGGAATTCATTAGGCTTAATTCTCTAATTTGAAATTCTTGGTTTTAGATCCATTCCATAATCATGTTATTAGTCTCACTTTTTAGAAGAAACATGTGAAGCAAATGCTTCTGAATTTAATTGAAATGAAATCTTAATTATTTTAACTCATCTGCATGGAGGAAACAATTCATAATTGCCAACCATCTTTGTTCTCAACAAAGATTGGTTCCACCTGCCACCATTGGGAATGTCCAGGAATATTCTCCTGGATTCTGAATTCCTGGAGGTCAGGGACTTGGGAGTTTTGTTCCTTGGTGTATTCCTAGAGCCTGGGGCAGTGATAGGCTCATAGAAGGAATCTAATCATGATTTGTAAGTGCATAAATAATGTGGGGTTATTTGTCTAAGTTGAAACCCTCCTATGGCTTATTCAGGGAGAGATCAGACTGGGCCTCAAGCTCTTAGCCCTGTCCCAGTACAGACCTGTGACATCCATGGTCTCAGGCTAATTTATGGCCCTTTCCTCAGAGCCTCCCTCTAGGACAGTGGTTTTCAACCTTCTGGCCCTTTAAATACAGTTCCTCATGTTGTGACCCAACCATAAAATTATTTTCATTGTTACTTCATAACTGTAATGTTGCTACTGTTATGAATCGTAATGTAAATATCTGATACGCAGGATGGTCTTAGGCCAGTAATTGGCAAACTGCGGCTCGCAAGCCACATGCAGCTCTTTGGCCCCTTGAGTATGGCTCTTCCACAAGATACTGACTTCTACGCATGGGCCACAAAGTTTCAATCACAGTGTACATGAGCACCCACACGTGGTATGTTGTGGAAGAGCCACACTCAAGGGGCCAAACAGCCACATGTGGCTTGCGAGCCGCAGTTTGCCGACCACGGTCTTAGGCGACCCCTGTGAAAGGGTCGTTCGACCGCCAAAGGGGTCGCGATCCACAGATTGAGAACCGCTGCTCTAGGAGCACTGAAGTAACTGGATGCCAGGAACCACTGCAGAAACTAAGGGGAACCTGACAGGGATGGAGGTGGAGTGATTTGGGGAGAATTGTGAGATAAAGACTTAGGTGAATGAAGGTCTGGTCACTTCCACACTGTGTGTGAAGCTCGCCAAATCACATCCTCACTCCAGACCTCATCCCCAAACTGAGGAGTTCTTTAGATCATGGGTTTTGTCATCTAAAATCTCCACTCTGTGGTCTAGAGTCAGTTTTTACACTGGGTGCACCCAGAGGTGAGCCCGTCTCCACCTCTGCCACTCCCCAATGCCCACAAGCGAGACCTGAGCCTACTGCTGCACCTGCCTCTGCCAGGGGCCAAGTTGTGCATGCCCACTAGGGGACGGAGCTCACTGGCCTAGTATCCTTTCTGCATCTTAGAGATGAGGCTGATTTCTTCCAGCCCCACCAGGTAATAAACCTTGGCACTCTAGGA